CCCAAGTATCATTCGTCTCCATTCACTCCTATCTAACACGCTCACGCACGCTTGCTGGAAGTCCAAGCCCCTCACCCACAAAACCTCCTTTACCCCCTCTTTCCAACCCTTTCGAGGACGACCCCTACCCCTCTTTCCTTCCCCTATAGATTTATATGCTTTCCATGTCATTCACTTTGATCCATTCTCTCTAAATGACCAAACCACCTCAACAACCCCTCTTCTGCCCTCTGACTAATGCTTTATTAACTCCACACCTTCTCCTAATTTCCACACTCCGAATTTTCTGCATAATATTTACACCACACATTGCCCTTAGACAGACATCTCCACTGGCCTCCAACCGTCTCCTCGCTGCTGCATTTACCACCCAAGCTTCACATCCATATAAGAGTGTTGTACTACTATACTTTCATACATTCCCTTCTTTGCCTCCATAGATAACGTTTTTTGACTCCACATATACCTCAACGCACCACTCACCTTTTTTCCCTCATCAATTCTATGATTAACCTCATCCTTCATAAATCCATCCGCCGACACGTCAACTCCCAAGTATCTGAAAACATTCACTTCTTCCATACTCCTCCTCCCCAATTTGATATCCAATTTTTCTTTATCTAAATCATTTGATACCCTCATCACCTTACTCTTTTCTATGTTCACTTTCAACTTTCTACCTTTACACACATTCTCAAACTCATCCACTAACCTTTGTAATTTTTCTTTAGAATCTCCCATAAGCACAGTATCATCAGCAAAAAGTAACTGTGTCAATTCCCATTTTGAATTTGATTCCCCATAATTTAATCCCACCCCTCTCCCGAACACCCTAGCATTTACTTCTTTTACAACCCCATCTATAAATATATTAAACAACCATGGTGACATTACACATCCCTGTCTAAGACCTACTTTTACCGGGAAGTATTCTCCCTCTCTTCTACACACCCTAACCTGAGCCTCACTATCCTCATAAAAGCTCTTTACAGCATTTAGTAACTTACCACCTATTCCATATACTTGCAACATCTGCTACATTGCTCCTCTATCCACTCTATCATATGCCTTTTCTAAATCCATAAATGCAATAAAAACTTCCCTACCTTTATCTAAATACTGTTCACATATATGTTTCAATGTAAACACTTGATCTACACATCCCCTACCCACTCTGAAGCCTCCTTGCTCGTCCGCAATTCTACATTCTGTCTTACCTCTAATTCTTTCAATTATAACCCTACCGTATACTTTTCCTGGTATACTCAGTAAACTTATTCCTCTATAATTTTTACAATCTCTTTTGTCCCCTTTCCCTTTATATAAAGGGACTATACATGCTCTCCGCCAATCCCTAGGTACCTTCCCCTCTTTCATACATTTATTAAACAAAAGTACCAACCACTCCAACACTATATCCCCCCCTGCCTTTAACATTTCTGTCATGATCCCATCAGTTCCAGCTGCTTTAACCCCCTTTCATTCTACGTAATGCCTCACGTACCTCCACCACACTTACATTCTGCTCTTCTTCACTCCTAAAAGATGGTATACCTCCCTGGCCAGTGCATGAAATTACCGCCTCCCTTTCTTCCTTAACATTTAAAAGTTCCTCAAAATATTCTCGCCATCTACCTAATACCTCCCTCTCCCCATCTACTAACTCCCCTACTCTGTTTTTAACTGACAAATCCATACTTTCCCTAGGCTTTCTTAACTTGTTTAACTCACTCCAAAATTTTTTCTTATTTTCATAAAAATTTCTTGACAGTGCCTCTCCCACTCTTTCATCTGCTCTCCTTTTGCACTCTCTCACCATTCTCTTCACCTTTCTTTTACTCTCCATATACTCTGCTCTTCTATAACACTTCTGCTTTGTAAAAACCTCTCGTAAGCTACCTTTTTCTCTTTTATCACACCCTTTACTTCATCATTCCACCAATCACTCCTCTTTCCTCCTGCCCCCACCCTCCTATAACCACAAACTTCTGCCCCACATTCTAATACTGCATTTTTAAAACTATTCCAACCCTCTTCAACCCCCCCACTACTCATCTTTGCACTAGCCCACCTTTCTGCCAATAGTCGCTTATATCTCGCCCGAACTTCCTCCTCCCTTAGTTTATACACTTTCACCTCCCTCTTACTTGTTGTTGCCACCTTCCTCTTTTCCCATCTACCTCTTACTCTAACTGTAGCTACAACTAAATAATGATCCGATATATCAGTTGCCCCTCTATAAACATGTACATCCTGGAGCCTACCCATCAACCTTTTATCCACCAATACATAATCTAACAAACTACTTTCATTACGTGCTACATCATACCTTGTATATTTATTTATCCTCTTTTTCATAAAAAATGTATTACTTATTACCAAATTTCTTTCTACACATAGCTCAATTAAAGGCTCCCTATTTTACATTTACCCCTGGCACCCCAAAATTACCTACTACTCCCTCCATAACATTTTTACCCACTTTAGCATTGAAATCCCCAACCACCATTACTCTCACACTTGATTCAAAACTCCCCACGCATTCACTCAACATTTCCCAGAATCTCTCTCTCTCCTCTACACTTCTCTCTTCTCCAGGTGCATACACGCTTACTATAACCCACTTTTCACATCCAATCTTTATTTTACTCCACATAATCCTTGAATTTATACATTTGTAGTCCCTCTTTTCTGCCATAGCTTATCCTTCAACATTATTGCTACTCCTTCTTTAGCTCTAACTCTATTTGAAACCCCTGACCTAATCCCATTTATTCCTCTCCATTGAAACTCTCCCACCCCCTTCAGCTTTGTTTTCACTTAAAGCCAGGACATCCAGTTTCTTCTCATTCATAACATCCACAATCATCTCTTTCTTATCATTTGCACAACATCCATGCACATTCAGACTTCCCACTTTGACAATTTTCTTCTTCTTATTCTTTTTAGTAATCTTTACAGGAAAAGGGGTTACTAGCCCATTGTTCCCGGCATTTTAGTTGACTTTTACAACACGCATGGCTTACGGAGGAAAGATTCTTATTCCACTTCCCCATGGATATAAAAGGAAAAGTAATAAGACCAAGAACTATTAAGATAAAATCAAAGAAAACTCAGATGAGTGTGTATAAATAAACGTGTACATGTATGTGTAGTGTGACCTAAGTGTAAGTAGAAGTAGCAAGACGTACCTGTAATCTTGCATATTTATGAGACAGACAAAAGACACCAGCAATCCTACCATCATGTAAAACAATTACAGGCTTTCGTTTTACACTCACTTGGCAGGACGGTAGTACCTCCCTGGGTGGTTGCTGTCTACCAACCTACTACACATTATTATCCCCACTAATTATTACATTTAAATCATAGAAAATTATCAAAATTTTCCACAATGTTAGTGTTTTGGGAAGACACGTAATAGACGGTGAGATGGACATGTATTAACGTCCAACTTTGAGTCATTAGTGACACTAAAAAAATTATCTTTGTATTAATGAAGTTGCCTGCATAAAAGCAATACAACCAGTTTCATGGCAACACACCCAGGCTCAGGGCAACACACCCAGGCTCAGGGCAACACACCCAGGCTCAGGGCAACACACCCAGGCTCAGGGCAACACATCCAGGCTCAGGGCAACACATCCAGGCTCAGAGCAACACACCCAGGTTCAGGGTAACACATCCAGGCTCAGGGCAACACACCCAGTCTCAGTGCAACACACCCAGGCTAAGGGCAACACATCCAGGCTCACGGCAACACACCCAGGCTCACAGCAACACACCCAGGCTCACAGCAATGCACCCAAGCTCATGGCAGCATACCCAGGCTCACAACAACACAGCCAGGACCACGGCAACACACAGTCTCACGGCAACACATCCAGGCTCACAGCAATGCACCCAGGTTTCTAGGAACACACCTTGGCTTGCAGCAACACATTCAAGGTCATGGCAATCCAGCCGGGCTAATGGCAACAAAGCCAGGCTAACAGTAACACAGCCAGGCTCATGGCAACATATCCAGGCTCACGGCAACACATCCAGGTTCACGGTAACACACCCACTCTCTCCCAGCTGATCATCCAAATAATGGTCTAATACATGTCAAAATTCCCATTTAATAGTTTAATATGTGTCCATTGGACTGTCTATTACATGATAAGTTTATATAATTTTCCAAAACAGGTCATAGATGGATTATTAGTCTATGATATACAACATGTTTAGTGCCCCAGAGCAACATTCTTCCTTTGGTATTACATCTTCAGTACAAGTGAGACATTCTCTTAGCAATTCCATCACATGGTTTAGCTCCTACTTTGCAACTTGGCACTTACAATGCCTCTTTTTACCACAACTACCCGCAGATGCCACTGTAACACAAAAATAGTATAAAGTATGTAATAACTTTAAAATACATGAAACTTTTGAAAGTTTCCAGACAGAATTGAGATGTAGAGTTCAGGAAACATGTAAACAGAAAATGAGTGGTACATATATGGATATGCCGTAATAGCAAATTAGGAGCTGTATAAACGTATTTTTTGGGTATAATTTAAAATGTCCGTATTAGTGAAGGGCCGTTAAGTGGGGCCATCCTGTAGTTGTAAGTACATATAGTACTTACATAAAGTAAGTACATATAGTACTTGTACTTACTGGTTTTGGTCTGCTCAAAATGCTTTGCATAACATAGAACTTCTCAAAAGCATTGTACTTTATTATAAACTGTAATTCCCAAAATTGCAATGTTGTATTTTTAAAATAAAATCTCTATTTGTACTAAAATAACTTGTCATGGGTACTATGTTTTAAGTAGTCCATATGGATTAACATTAGGATAATTACAACACAGCCCAAAAATCACACCCGAGTGTCAAAAAAAAATAGCAACAACTGGTAAATTAAGCATAATAAAAAAAAGCAAAGAGCAATAAACGATTAAGGATATTTTCATGCAAGTCAAATCAAGCATAGCAAGAGTTTCCGTATCTCACCTTCTCGGCATGCAACCCTCCCTGCCAAAATAAATAGAATGAGAAGAGCATTAGTTTGCTAGCTAACAATACAACCTTCCCTTTGTAAAAAAAGAGGTCTTATTAGGTCAAATAAAAAAAATCAAAATGTATCTACACTACAGCAAAGAAATACCTACTTTATTCAGCTAGAAAAATTCAAACATGTCATTAATAAAAAAAATATAATTTACTACTTTCAAACACTACTTACCCTTGAAAACTAATAAAAATTATTTATAAGTAAGTAAAGTACAGTGGACCCCTGCATAACGATTACCTCCGAATGCGACCAATTATGTAAGTGTATTTATGTAAGTGCGTTTGTACGTGTATGTTTGGGGGTCTGAAATGGACTAATCTACTTCACAATATTCCTTATGGGAACAAATTCGGTCAGTACTGGCACCTGAACATACTTCTGGAGTGAAAAAATATCGTTAACCGGGGGTCCACTGTACTTGAAAAAGACCAGTAGTGTATTGGATGAAACACTGTATTTGTGCCTTTTTCATTAACTGTCTGCAAATTGCCATCATCTTCACCATGTTTATACTGCATATTTTTTATGCTAAACAGTAAAATTAATCATTATATATGAGCTTCATGAATTGTTGTGACAACTTTCACTACCACGTGAAATTCCTTTTCTTATGTCAACATATTATCCAATGTTTATAAATGAAAATGTATTGGAAGGCAAGATAATAAATTGCTCCAGTGATCATCAAATATACAGGTAATGCTACTTAATTAATTGAGAAGTCACTGGCATACATCACTAAACTTATGTGAAATGATGACTTCTTACAAGTGATACTTATTACCACAAAAAAACGAGGCCTCAATCTCATCTACATTTGAACATAATCTGAACTCGACTTCCTTAAAAAGGTCCTTCACATTATTAATTTCCACATCACTAGTGCAAATAACTACTGTATTTTCTACCATATAAGGCATATTTATTTATTTATGCATTCCCCAAAAACTCTCAGAAAATCACCATGCATCTTATATTCTTATATGATAAAGGTCAGGAACAAGGAAAGACCTTGGGTTACTGGTAAGTGGTGACTGTAGTGACACTAAACCAGAAACAATGGAAATAACTCACTGTCTACTTTTTTTTTTTTTTTTCACCAAACCAGTCATATCCCAATGAGGCAAGTGACTTAAAAAGTAAAGCAAAAATTTCTCTTTTTAACTTTAGTAATATATACAAGAGAAGGGGTTACTAGCCCCTTGCTCCCGGCATTTTAGTCGACACATATGGTTTACGGAGGAAGAATTCTGTTCCACTTCCCCATGGAGATAAGAGGAAATAAACAAGAACTAGTAAGTAAATAGAAGAAAACCCAGTGGGGTGAGTATATATATGCTTGTACATTCATGTGTAGTGTGACCTACGTGTAAGTAGAAGTAGCAAGACATACCTGAAATCTTGCATGTTTAGGAGATAGAAAAAAGACACCAGCAATCCTACCATCATGTAAAACAATTACAGGCTTCTGTTTTACATTCACTTGGCAGAACTTTTTTGGGTTATCCTAGGTAATTTACACTATGTATGATAATTGTACTTATGTGTCCCTGTGCCTAAATAAACTTACTCAATCCCCAACAAATCTATTTCCCAGATTACTTTAGGCTGAGTAGTACCATCATCAATTATAATTCGCATCTTCTCCATGGGAGAGCGGAGGAAAATTCTTCCTCCGTAAGTTATGCATGTCGTAAGATGCGACTAAAATGCTGGGAGCAAGGGGCTAGTAACCCTTTCTCTTTATAATTTTTTTTCTTTTTCAGGTGACCCTACCTCAGTGAGAGACGGCCAGTGTGAAAAAAAAAATTCACATATTATTGGTACATACTATGCAAACCAGCTTCAGTGGTTGTAAATAACTGCAAAGTAGCTATCTGTAAACAACAGGTAGCCACGAGTGTTTCAGTGACGGTGGAGCAGAAGACAGGCTGTGCAATGTCCCACTTCTTCTAGCTACTCTGTACACATAAGCCACCATCCAATGACTCATTATCATTTTGAAGCAAGTATTGCATTTTTTATTTTTCCCAGAATATGTCTTGACGAAATTTCTCCATAGGGAAGTGGAACAGAATTCTTCCTCCATAAGCCAAGTGTGTCATAAGAGGCAACTAAAATGCAGGGAGCAAGGGGCTAGTAACCCCTTCTGTATATATTACTAAATTTAAAGAGAGAAACTTCTGTTTTTCTTTTTGGGCCACCCTGCCTCAGTGGGATACAGCCAGTGTGTTGAGAGAAAGAAGCGTAACAAAATTGGGGGTTCACCTCATATGTTGGAAAATACGGTATGTATGTTCTATTAGATTCACCGATATTCATCATAATTTGTACAAGCCTAATTTAGCTCATATGCCATACATGTGTTGTATAAACAATGATAAAGCCTTAAGTATTTGCAGGATTTATGTCCCTACATAACACCACAAATGTAAATAATCACATCAAGAATGGTAATTTTCTTCTGCAAATGCACTCTAAGTGTCAAGAATCTATGTTTACAATATACTACATGCTGAGAAAATCATCATTGTGACTCTGTTGTCATATAATTATGTATGACTATCTTGCACTAAGGCATATAATTACAGTATAGTAAAAGTCTTATCTGCCTCAAAACCCAAGAGAAAAAATAAAAGCATCAGTGATGATGAGAAGCCAAGTTAAAGACCATGCAAGTGACTAATAAGAATGTGTGATTGTGTCAATATGATAACTAAAATTTACCAAATAACACTGTAATTCAAAAAGGTTCTCACAGTTCTGCTTCTATGGAAGACCATGATCAACCTTAATCATGTAATAAATTAATGTATCTTCTAGAATATCATTAAATACAGTTTTCTTTGCTTTTTACTAAACTGGCCATTTTCCACCAAGGTAAGGTGACCCAAAGGAAACAATACACCCAAACTCTTTCATTAGCTGCCATGCTACAATATCACTATGAACTGCAACATCCCCACACATTCTACAGTAACTAAATATCTGAAGGGTAGGAGTTGGCCCAGGAAAGGATGGAGGGAGGGGGTAAAGGGTTTGTGTGCAGGAATGTAAGAACATGTTAGATAGGACTGGATAAACGGTTTTAGGGACTTGACAAGCTGTTGGAGTGAGAGCAAGGTAATATTTTGTGAAGGGATTCAGGGAAACCGGTTTGCCGGACTGGAGTCCTGGAGGTGGAAAGGATAATGCCTGCACTTTGAAAGGTGGGGTTTGTGAAATTTACTGTTTGGAGGGACATCTAAACTGTCATAACTATGCATCTCTGGCAAGACAGTGATAGTGTAAATGATGGTGAAAGTGTTTCTTTTTTTGTGTCACTCTGCCTCGGTGGGACAGCCAGTGTGTTTAAAAAAATATTCATCACAAGCTATGTTTGCAAGTTGATTATTAAAGTAACTGAATATAAAATCCTTATTAATTTTAATTCATAACAATGTTATTTATAAAGAAACTTTATTTATCTTTATTTATCCATTTATCTACAGTCTTGTTTCACCAAAGAGAAGCTATATAACACTTACCCTACTGAGCTTGCTGGAGCGGCTACTAATGAAGAAGGTCCCACTACGAGCTAAAAATAAAAGGGGGCATAGAGTAAGTCAAATAATTTTTTCAAAATACAGAATATGATAATACAAACAATAGTACCATACTCTAGTGCAAACTGGAGGTGTACTGCTGAAAAGTGGTGAAAAAGAGACTTTTAGCAGCCAAATCTTTTACTGGTACAATGTTTCACTCAGAGTGAACTTTTTTCAAGTATAGAATACATAACAAATACGAGGTAAAACAACTTAAATAATCATCCAGGGTGAACAAGTCAGGTGCAGGTGTCAGGTGTGCCAGGCTTAAGTTTAAGAGATGTACTGCATGTAGCCTATACCTGCCCACCTCAGATTTCCTTTGTTCTAAAACAATGAGAGCTATGGGGGAGGGGGGGTTACTAGAGCAAACCTCCCACTATTTATTTGATGGTATTTGCAACCTTCATTGTAGATGATCCCAGGCATCTACATATAACCTTATCATTCTCCTGAAACAGTAATTTGTCTGTCCCACTGATGTTACCTACTGCCTAACCCTACATTTCTACCGTACTGTACCACATATTATAAGAACAACAACAACATATGTCAGGCCTATTTTTAAGCATGCAGCACTGGCAAGGAACCCACACATAAAACATGTTAAGAAACATATATTATACTTCAGTTTGGTTAACAGATATACATTAATTTAATGATGCTTCATGTAATTTATAAGTGAAAGAGAACAAGTACTATATTCTCAGTTAAAATAATAAAAGAAATTAGATATGGAATACTAAGGCTCAGGAATGCATCTCTGATTATAACATAGATGTATGTGGGTAAAAATGTTCCAAGCTCCAAACACTGAACTTGCAACAAATTTCAGAAACACATTAATGTCCTAAGTGGGAACCAACTATACATTAAAATCTACTGCTTTATATCAAACCTGCAATTTCCATTTCCACACATACAGCTTCTCCATCATGTTCAAAGTTTGCATCGTGTTTACAACCGTTTCATGTGTATCATTATTAACTTTTATTAACCCTTAAACTGTCCAAACGTAGATCTACATGCATATGCGTAGCTCTCCGAATGTAAATCATTTTATTTTTCATTGCTTTAAAATTGGGGCGATAGGCCTGAGTCGCCTAGACACGAGGGAATGGGTCTTAACACTCGGTGTGCGCAGTATTAAAAAATCTTGGACCACTCAGTGCCTTGTGGGAGCACCAGTTCAACTGAGCGCCAGCTAGAGCAAATAGTGTGGCAAACACCAGGGATACACTGATGTCATGTCGTATTAACACTCCCCTTTTAAGAGGAAAGTGAAAATAGGTTAGATAAATACACGAGTGGGTGTGGGTGGGTGTGAGTTGGACCTGACTAGCTTGTGCTACTAGGTCTGATTGCCTTGCTCCTTCCTTCAGTGGATGTGAACCTGACTAGGTTGGTCACTGGTCTAAGCCAGGGGGTGACATGAACCTGCCTTGCATGGGCCAGTAGGCCTGCTGCAGAGTTCCTTCTTTCTTATGTTCTTATGTATTCAGCAGGCAGGCTGGCTGGCTGGCTTTGGCTGTCTCTCTCTCACATGAACATATAAGTATGGTTATTATAGTGTAAATTAACTAGGATAACCCAGAAATTCCAGGCAAAGTGCTATACTGTGCTTGTAGATTTTTTTTTTTTAACAAGTCGGCTGTCTCCCACTGAGGCAGGGTGACCCAAAAAGAAAGAAAATCCCCCAAAAGAAAATACTTTCACCATTCAACACTTTCACCTCACTCACACATAATCACTGTTTTTGTAGAGGTGCTCAGAATACAACAGTTTAGAAGTATATATGTAAAAAAATACACAACATAACCCTCCAAACTGCCAATATCCCAAACCCCTCCTTTAAAGTGCAGGCACTGTACTTCCCATTTCCAGAATTCAAGTCCGGCTAAATAAAAATAACCGGTTTCCCTGAATCCTTTCACTAAATATTACCCTGCTCACACTCCAACAGATCGTCAGGTCCCAAAAACCATTCGTCTCCATTCACTCCTATCTAACACACTCGTGCATGCTTGCTGGAAGTTCAAGCCCCTCGCCCACAAAACCTCCTTTACCCCCTCTTTCCAACCTTTTTGAGGACGACCCCTACCCCGCCTTCCTTCCCCTACAGATTTATACGCTCTCCATGTCATTTTACTTTGATCCATTCTCTCTAAATGGTCAAACCACTTCAACAACCCCTCTTCAGCCCTCTGACTAATACTTTTATTAACTCTACACCTTCTCCTAATTTCCACACTCCAAATTTTCTGCATAATATTTACACCACACATTGTCCTTAGACAGGACATCTCCACTGCCTCCAACCGCCTCCTCGCTGCAGCATTTGCAACTCAAGCTTCACACCCATATAAAAGTGTTGGTACTACTACTATACTTTCATACGTTCCCTTCTTTGCCTCCATAGATAACGTTTTTTGTGTCCACATATACCTCAAAGCACCACTCATCTTTTTTCTTTCATTAATTCTATGATTAACCTCATCCTTCATAAATCCATCCACTGACACGTCAACTTCCAAATATCTGAAAACATTCACTTCTTCCATACTCCTCCTCCCCAATATGATATCCAATTTTTCTTTATCTAAAACATTTGATACCCTCAGCACCATGATGCAATATGCATTTTCACTTGCTCAGGAATCAGGGAGTGGCTTGTAAACCAACAGTTTTACAAGCCGCTCCCTGAGACAGAGACGAAAAGCAGACGGAAAGACACACACACACAGGCAGACAGAAAGACAGATAAACAGAGCTACAGAGACAGACAGATAGACAGACAGACATGTTTGTAACAGTGAAAACAAATAAAGTGAGGGTTCCCTGAGTGCACATTCATCAAGTGTCACTGCCTGTCAGTTTACTGACACTTGTCATAACACCATGCTTCAAGGTATCCTCCAGCATGTTCAAAACATTACTGGGACCTATAAATACTTTGTATATATTTCTAGACAATAGTAAATGACCAAGGCAGATGAAATGTTCACCTGCCAGTGTAATTGTGACTATTTGAGTACTATTTCAGTACCTAATATTAGTGTCAAAACAAAGAGTGGCTATGAAATCACAAGAACTATTATAAATTGTAATTATCAGAACATAAAAAATATATACAGTGGTCCCTCAATAATCGTCCGGCCTGAAAGTCGTCCATTTCGGAAATCGCCGCGTTATTTCATCTAAACATTGGCTCGCAAATGGTCCGTTAACTTGCTAATCGTCCTTCGTCCTGGACGCGTACTCACGGCTGTGAGCCGCCTCGGCCTCCCTTCCCAGCCAGTGTGCCATTGTCTACCAGTGAGCGACGGTCCCCTCATGTGTTCATACGAAGTATTTCATAATATTCCATTCATTTTAGTGCTTGCAAGTGCTAAATAAGCTACCATGGCTCCAAAGAAAGCTCCTATTGCCAAGCCTTTGATAAAGAAGGTGAGAAATACGACTGAATTTAAGAAAAACATCATTGAACAATATGAAAGTGGCGTACATGTGGCCGAACTGGCCAGGTTGTATAACAAACCCCATGAACATCAAAATGGTATACAATACCGACAGGTATTGGGTGATGGACTGATTACATCGTCTTCTCTACTGTTCCTGCCTACTTTCTGTATTCGACTGAAGAAGCCTACTGTGTAGGCGAAACGTTTTGGAATAAAGTTGCCTAACTGTTGCCTATGTGTCTTACCTACCAACAAACCCCATACAACTATATCTTCCATCGTGGCAAAGAAAAAAGAAATCAAGGAAGCTGTTGTTGCTTGGAGAAAATTGTGGCCAGATTGTGTCCACAACAGGGATTTTGAAGGGTTTGTGGCTGACCCTGATGAGCCTATGTCAGTTGTGAAATCTATTGTGGCATTGGGGAGTTCCATGGGGTTGGATGAGAGTTTGGAGGATGTGGAAGAGTTGGTGAAGGACCACAACGAAGAGCTAACCACTGAGGAGTTGCAAGAGCTTCAGCAAGAACAGCAACAGATCACAGCTCAGAATCTTGCTGCAGAGGAGGAAGAGAGATGGAAGAAGTTGCCTTCTTCACAAATTAAGGAGATTTTTGAAATGTGGGGTAGGATGGAAAGATTTATGGAGAAACATCACCCTGAGAAAGATGTTGCAAGCCATATCGGCAACTTGTACAGTGACAGTCTTGGCCCATTTTAGGGAAGTTTTAAAGAGACGCCAGAAGCAGAGCTCTCTGGACACTTTCTTGCGAGACAGGACTCCAGTGACTCTCAAGCTGGTCCTAGTGGCATTAAGAAACAGAGAAGAGAAGTAACCCCAGAAAAGCACTTGGTACCTGAGGTGTTGATGGAAGGGGATTCACCTTCCAAAGAGTAACTAATGCAATCTCTCTCCTCCTCCAGTCTTCCATACACTAAGAAGAATCACCAATTAAGGTAAGTGTTACGCTGTTAATGTTTCATTCATCATGTCCCATTGTATTGTTTATGTACTACATCTGTATTTCATGTAAAAAATTTTTTTGTTTTAATACTTCTGGGTGTCAGGAACGGATTAATTGTATTTACATTATTTCTTATGGGGAAAATTGATTCGAAAATCGTCTATTTCGATACTAGTCTCACTTCCAGGAATGGATTAAGGATGATAATTGAGGGATCACTGTAAATTAAAATAAAAGCGAGAAAAAAAGGAATACAGTGGACCCCCGCCTTACGATATTAATCCGTTCCTGAGAGCTCATCATAAGCTGAAATCATAGTTAGCCGAATTAATTTTCCCCATAAGAAATAATGGAAATCAAATTAATCCGTTCCTGACACCCCAAAGTATGAAAAAAAAATTTTTTTTTACCACATGAAATATTAATTTTAATACACACAAACTGAAGAAGACATGCACAATTACTACTCTACTAAGAATAGAATACATGACACTTACCTTTATTGAAGATCTGGTGATGATTGATGGGATGGGAGGAGGGGTGAGTGTGGAAGTTATTGTTTAGAAGGGGAATCCCCTTCCATTAGGACTTGAGGTAGCAAGTCCTTTTCCGGGGTTACTTCTCTTCTTCTTTTAATGCCACTAGGACCAGCTTGAGAGTTACTGGACCTCTGTCGCACAACAAATCTGTCCACAGAGCTCTGTACCTCCCGTTTCTTTAAGACTTTCCTAAAATGGGCCATAACATTGTCCTTGTACAGGTTGCCAACACAGCTTGCAGTAGCTGTGTCAGGGTGATTTTCATCCGTGAAGGTTTGCAGTTCAACTCACTTTGCACACATTTCCTTAATCTCTTTTTTTCAACTCCATACTAATTCTCACCCCTTTTTATCACAGGGATGGCACTAGAAGCTTTCTTGGGGTCCATGGTGACTTATTTTGCAGTTACAAGCACTAAAAACACTGGGCTAATGCGAAATGTACCGAATGTATGCGTAGATACGACCAGACTGGCTGGCTTGTAAACACTGCCGCTGAGGCCACACGTGGGATGCATCCTGGATGAATCACGTAAGGCAAGTTTTTTTTATCGTGAGGCGAGGCAAAATTTTTGCGTTTAAATGCTTCGTATGGCGGATTTAACGTAACGCGATGCGTTCGTAAGGCGGGGGTCCACTGTATTGGCAACACTTCTGCAAGTGGCAGGAGTTGATGTTGCTGTCAAGTGAGCATCTAGCACCAACTTCACGGGCTTATATCTCGGTAAGTACAGGTCCTAAAAATTTTTTTTTTTGGGGTCTTATACCACACAGAAAATTGCCCTCTTTAATTTTTTTTTTTTCAAAATATTCAGTGCTATGCAGTTGAACATAGATCTACGTTTGGACAGTTTAAGGGTTAAACACTATTTGTATAAATTCATGCATTCTAAATGAATGCAACTTTTCCTCTTTTTTCACACAAATCAATTTTACAGGCTAAGAGCTATTATCCTACCTCAGCTCATTTCAAAGCTCTATCTAAGGTATACTACTACTCCTCAGCATGTGACCTACACTAGATGGCTAACACCCAGGTACCTACTTACTGCTAGGTGAACAGGGGCAGCAGGTGTAAGGAAACATGCCCAACATTTCCACCCATACTGGGGATCGAACCCTGGACACTCAGTGTGAGAGTCGAGTGTGCTACCAACGGAGCCACAGGACTCCCACTTTTATGAAAGCAACTAGCAATTTACCATTTAGAACAAGTTATCCTAAATTTAGATATATTACATTACACATAAAAAGGGGTTTCTCATCTTAAGACATATATGAAGGAAAAAATTGCATACCATTCTTACAATGAGGTAAACAGGTAAGTGTATCTAATTTTGATTAGGATTTTAATATTTTCTTAAATGCATGTGAAATATATGTTGAATCAATAACAATATGCAACAATACCTATCAACATTCAATGACTCTTGCATAAGTAATGTAATGAAACAAATTCCCTTACTTCATTAGTTAAGTATACCAAAATAGATCCTTCATATAAGACAATGAAAACAGACTTCAGCTACCTAAGCTTACCATCAGCAAGCAATCCTTCACGTTTGCGTAAGACTGGTAAAGCAAAAATATATTAGATAATTATTTAACTAAAAATTATACTGTATATCAAACATTAAAACCCTTTTATCCTCAATCAATACAAAAGTCACACACAATGCAATTTAAGAGGTCTCTTAAATTGCTAAGGAAACACTAGAGGATTAAGTGCTAAAAAGAAACACTACAGGAATAAAAACTATTAAGACACACAGGAAAGCCAAGACTTGTGTACTTTATAATGAATGCAGGAAGTTTATAAGATTTACCTGTCATCTTACATGAGACAGAAAAGACCAGCAATGCTACCAGAGTGCAAGAACTGAACATTTGTATGACAAAACAGTAGTATCTCCCTAGATACTACTATGGGTCAATGTAGTTTCTAAAAACAAATGTAAGATTTTAGCCTAAGAGACTAAAAGCATCAGAACTGTGGCCACCTATCTTATTGGTAATCTGATTTCATTTATGTGAACACACCCTCAACTCAAAGTGTAGTAATTAATTAATGAATGTAGTAATATTCCAGCAATGCAACTGCTGTCACTGAACACCAAAAGTTCTTTAAAATACCCTGAGAAAACAAGAGTTGCATTGCTTTAGTAATTCAAAATCAAAGTTTAAAGATTTATTTCCACATGATACAATCAATGTTTGTACAGAGATGGATGACATTTGATTGTACATGCAGAAAGCCCATGCTTGTGCAGAGCATTTTGGACAATTAATAAATCGATCAATGTGGTAATGTTCCAGCAGTGCAGCTGATGTCATTAATACCAAAAGACAAATATAAGTTTTTTAAAATAATGTAAGAAAGCAAGAGTTGCATTTGGCTACACTTAGCATTTGTTTAAGTGGCAGTCAGTGAGTGATTTCATTAAACACAAGGGAGATTGAGTGAGTTTCATCAGAGTGACTGATAAATGAGGGAAGGATGGACATGTACAGATTACAGTCATACAATCCTATTCAGGCTAAACAGAAATATAGACATGTTTGAGTATTACAGTTACACTCTTAAGGACACCAGAGAGGTATGTCTGGGTATGCTTTATCACAGTAAAGTGTTATTGGAACAGAAGCTAGTGATATGAGGCTGTCACTCTGGACTAAGTACTGTGGTAGTCCTGAGGTGTGAAACTGTGCAGCCAGAGTGAGAATGATGCAGTAACAGTGATATGCAGTAAGGCAGTGACTAATGAACACTGGAGTCAGTGTTATTTGTCACTGTACAGTGATGTGAGGCTTGTAGTTAGCTTATGCTGCAAGACAGTGAAATAACTTAATTTTGTTTATATATGATTTTCATAAAAAAAAAAAAAATTATAATTATTTTTACAGCTTAAGTTTCTAAGAAGTTAGTTTGCATACAGCTAGTAAGGAGCAATTTAGATAGACTGAGAGATTATGGTTTTATTATATGACAGGGACATGAATAAGACTCCCAGAACATTTCCTGGCCCTCTTAAGAGTTTTGATCTACAGCTCCTGAGTCCTTTGAGAATGTTAAGCCACTATTGCTTGAGTTTCATCTAAAACTCCTGAGCCTCTTCAAGGTGTTGATCTCCAGCTCTTGGGCCTCATATAGGATACTGGGATACCCTTCTCGGTATGCGAAGAAATTAAAACAATTTTGAGTGTTTCATGAGTGCCAATCAGCAGTTTTGAACATGTGACACAATTATAATTTTTACTAACATTCTCTGTATTGGATAACAGGTTTAGGGGTGATAAAAAGACATAATGAAAGATCTTCATTAGCATGATGTTTTACCTTCATGAAGGTAAAAAGTTTTATTAATAAAGGTCTCCTTTTGCTGAATGTTTCATTTTACCACCTGTTGGCTATGCCATATTTCCACAAATTTAGGGCTACAAATGACTCATTCAGCAACTTTTCCAAAGTTGAGGCTCCCCTGTACTGGAATCAATTAGAATGATGGATATGCAACTTATAAAAAAATAAAGAAAAACCCTTAATAAAATAATTAATCACAAGTATGTTATTGGCTAATGATATTACTCTCAAAATAGTTACCAATTCCACATCAAAAACTTTTTGGTTCCCAGCAGTGGAAGCTCCTGAATTTCTATATAAAAGGGGCTTATGGGTGGCAATCTGGTTGGAAGGGGCAAGCTAGGGAACTTATCTTGAAGATGCATTATTATGGTACTTTTATTAGTATTTCAATTTGGGGGCTTTCTGAGGGCTGAATAGACTAAATATTAACTCAGAGATAAATTCTTCACAAATGCCACAACCAGTTCTACATATTGCAGTTACTAATGCACAACTCTGGTATGTTACTGTGAGGATGAGGCTGTAAGAGTAACCATGCACAAGAGTGAATGCAAAGCACCAGATTAGCCCCCTTGACACCACCATTTATTTCTAATAATTACACAAAGAAAAAATGACCATACCATATCTTGATTAGAAATTTAAATACAGTGGGTGCAGGATGAACTGAAGATGAAAGACAAAAAATAATAAAGGAAAACAATAAGCAAGAGTTAATAGACCACTGGAGCAGGCAGTGGTGGCAGGCCAAACTTGGTATGCTAATGAACAAGATAATGAAGAATAAAAGTCATAATATCTTGTCACAACTAAGAGCAAACTTTAAATAACATTTCAGACTGCCCTGATAATGATTCAGGACAGAGTGAAACATTGTTTAAGGTGTCCTCTCCAAATTGTGTTTTGTTTTTTGTGAATGAGATAACAGCAATGTAACATTTTACGAAGATTACAAATCAATGAAACTTTAACAAAGCCATATATATAATACATTAGTAGAAAGAGTGAAAAGTGGATTATTCACCCCATTAAAAACAAAAATTTTTTTTTGAAAGCACAGTACCTGAGCCAATGTTGAATTCCTTTCCAGACATGATATGATGCAATAAGTTCTTCATCTCAAAGGGAGAGAGGTTAAGTAAGTGATCAGATGCCACATCTGCAGCACATTTAATGGTTCGTGCCAATTCTGAAGCCATGACCTAAAAAGTATATCAGTACTATATTATCATAGCTTTTACTGTTTGTATAAAACACGAAGTAGTTGATATTAGAGTATGAGCTAATTTTTAATTATTCCACTTGCACCATGCTTCTTACTTTTTTTTTTTTTTTTTCAACAAGTCGGCCGTCTCCCACCGAGGCAGGGTGACCCAAAAAAGAAAGAAAATCCCCAAAAAGAAAATGCTTTCATCATCATTCAACACTTTCACCACACTCACACATAATCACTGTTTTTGCAGAGGTGCTCAGAATACAACAGTTTAGAAGCATATACGTATAAAGATACACAACATATCCCTCCAAACTGCTAATATCCCAAACCCCTCCTTTAAAGTGCAGGCATTGTACTTCCCATTTCCAGGACTCAAGTCCGACTATATGAAAATAACCGGTTTCCCTGAATCCCTTCACTAAATATTACGCTCCTCACACTCCAATAGATCGTCAGGTCCCAAGTACCATTCGTCTCCATTCACTCCTATCTAACACGCTCACGCACGCTTGCTGGAAGTCCAAGCCCCTTGCCCACAAAACCTCCTTTACCCCCTCTCTCCAACCCTTTCGAGGACGACCCCTACCTCGCCTTCCTTCCCCTATAGATTTATATGCTTGTATTTATTAAAAGTAAGTTACAGTATATGGTACTTACAAAGAATATCATGTGGTACAGTACCTTCCATACAATGTTATTATTAATACACTCATGGGGAAGCACAAAACCCATATGGGTCATACAGCACCTGAGGTAATAGGAGGCATTCAGATTCAATATGGTAACTACAAAGAATGCCATATGATATATAAAAAGAATGACACATAATACAGTATGTACAAAGAATGATACACAACATCTACAAAGCTTGACAAATGGCACCTACAAAAAATGACCAAAAATAATCCATAACATCAAACGGTACCTACAAAAAACTTGCACAGCAGCACACACACGGACTGCACAATGGTAATGATTAAGACATGTGCAACAGTTGGGTATCTTTGTTGTTGAATCATTTTGCCTACACAGTAGGATTCTTCAAATACTGTGGAACCTCGGTTTTCGTATGCCCCAGTTTTCGGAGGATTCGGTTTTCAACGTCTTTTTTTGTCAAAAATTTGTCCCAGTTTTCGTACATCCGCTCGGCTTTTGTATACTATTTGAAAAGATCTGTACCAAACGCATCCGCATGACTCGGTCACTTAAGCACCCACACAAAACATCCCATGTGTTCATGACTCAGTCTGCCTTTGTTTCTTGTTGAGTGAGCATCACCCTGCACGTTCATCTGAAAAATTTCATGATAATCCATTGTTTTAGTGTGCCTTTTTATTCAGTGCGACTGCTCAATAAGCCACCATGGGGCCAGAGAAAGTTCCAAGTGCCAGCCCTTTGATAAAGAAGGCAAGAAACATGACAGAACATTGTGTCTTTGGGAAAGTCCATAGGGTTGGATTTGAGTGGCCAGGATGCGGAAGAGTTGGTGGATGGCCACAGGGAAGAGCTAACCACTGAAGAGCTGCAAGGCCTTCAACTGGAACAGCAAGAGACTGCAGCTGAGGAAATTGCTTCAGAGGAAGAGGAAGAGAGAGGGAAGAATGTGCCATCTTCAGTGATTAAGGACATGTGTGCAAAATGGAGTGAGTTGCAAAGCTTTGTGGAGAAATATCACCCTAACAAAGCTGTTGCAAGCCGTGTCTGCAACATGTTCAATGACAATATCTTGTCCCATTTTAGGCAAATCTGAAAGAGATGCCAGAAACAGACCACTATGGAGAGATTTTTTCTGCAACAGGGGTACAATGACTCTCAAGCTGGTCCTAGTGCCAGTTTACCTGGAGTTTACCTGGAGAGAGTTTCAGGGATCAATGCCCCCTGCAACCCGGTCTGTGACCAGGCCTCATGGTGGAACAGGGCCTGATCAACCAGGCTGTTACTGCTGGCCGCACGCAATCCAACGTACGAACCACGGCCCGGCTGGTCAGGTACCGACTTTAGGTGCTTGTCCAGTGCCTGCTTGAAGACAGCCAGGGGTCTATTGGTAGTCCCCTTTATGTATGCTGGGAGGCAGTTGAACAGTCTTGGGCCCCTGACACTTATTGTGTTCTCTTAACATGCTAGTGGCACCCCTGCTTTTCATTGGGGGAATGCTGCATCGTCTGCGGAGTCTTTTGCTTTCATAAGGAGTGATTTTCGTGTGCAAGTTTGGTACTAGTCCCTCTAGGATTTTCCAGGTGTATATAATCATGTATCTCTCCTGCCTGCATTCCAGGGAGTACAGGTTCAGGAACTTCAAGCGTTCCCAGTAATTGAGGTGTTTTATCTCAGTTATGCGTGCCGTGAAGGTTCTCTGTACATTTTCTAGTTCAGCAATTTCACCTGCCTTGAAAGGTGCTGTTAGTGTGCAGCAATATTCCAGCCTAGATAGAACAAGCAACCTGAAGAGTGTCATCATGGGCTTGGCATCCCTAGTTTTGAAGGTTCTCATTATCCATCCTGTCATTTTCTAGCAGATGCGATTGATATAATGTTATGGTTTTTGAAGGTGAGATCCTCCAACATGATCACTCCCAGATCTTTGACGTTAAGTTTTTTGCCCTATTGTGTGGCTGGAATTTGTTATATACTCTGATGAAGTTTTAATTTCCTCACATTTACCATATCGGAGTAATTGAAATTTCTCATCGTTGAACTTCACATTGTATTCTGCAGCTCACTGAAAGATTTGGTTGATGTCAGCCTGGAGCCTTGCAGTGTCTTCAATGGAAGATACTGTCATGCAGATTCGGGTGTCATCTGCAAAGGAAGACATGGTACTGTGGCTTATATCCCTGACTATATCTGATATGAGGATGAGGAACAAGATGGGAGTGAGCACTGTGTCTTGCGGAACAGAGCTTTTCACCGTAGCTGCCTCAGACTTTACTCTGCTGACTACTTCGCTTTGTATTCTGTTTGTCAGGAAATTATAGATCCATCTACCAACTTTTCCTGTTATTCCTTTGGCACGCATTTTGTGCACTATTACGCCATGGTCACACTTGTCGAAGGCTTTTGCAAAGTCTGTGTATATTACATCTGCATTCTTTTTGTCTAATAGTGCATCCAGGACCTTGTCGTAGTGATCCAGTAGTTGGGACAGACAGGAGTGACCTGCTCTAAACCCATGCTGCCCTGGGTTGTGTAACTGATGGGTTTCTAGATGGGTGACGACCTTGCTTCTTAGGACCCTTTGAAAGATTTTTATGATATTTGATGTTAGTGCTATCAGTCTGTAGTTCTTTGCTATTGCTTTACTGCCCCCTTTATGGAGTGGGGCTATGTCTGTTGTTTTTAGTAACTGTGGGACGACCCCAGTGTCCATGCTCCCTCTCCATAGGATGTTAAAAGCACGTGATAGGGGTTTCTTGCAGTTCTTGATGAACACGGAGTTCCATGAGTCCGGCCCTGGGGCAGAGCGCATGGGCATGTCATTTATTGCCTGTTCGAAGTCATTTGATAGGGCCTTGTTACCTGAACTGCTTGTGGAAGAGGATTCCCCTTCCAAACAATAACCTCTCCTCCTCCCTCTCCCCTCCTTGCTGTCTTCCATACTCTAACACGAGTCTTCAATGAAGTTAAAAGTGATGTTAAATGTTCATTTATCCATTTCATTAGTCATTTATATTTATTTCTCACTGTTTTCTGTATGTAAAACTATAACTGTTCTCTATAGAATGTATTTTTTGTTAACATTTTTGGGTGTCTAGAACGGATTAATTGGATTTACATTATTTCTTATGGGAAATATTGCTTCAGTTTTTGTACGATTCAATTATTGTCATACTTTTTAGAACAAATTAATCACAAATACCAAGGTTCCACTGTACAGAGGCAGCAGGTGTAGTAGTGAAATGATGATGATGTAATCAGTCCATCAACCTTAGAGATATGAAGTGATCAGTCCCTCAGCCTGGAGAAGAGTTCAGCCCCATGAAGCTGAACTCTTCTGACCACCTCATATCTCCAAGGGATACTAATCTTGCAGAGAATAACTAAACAATGTCCAACCTAAAAGCCTACGTAGTGTAGTGTAAGTTTTGCTCCATTATTGTTCAAATTTCTTAGTCCAATCTCTTAGTAATTAAATAATCAACTACCTCATTATGTGATTTTACTAGTAAGCATAAGTCACCTTATGTAATTTTCTTATTTACTATTGTTTGCTTAAATATTAGCTGAATTGATACTTTCTCTGTCCATATTACTACCTCATTTTTTTAAATACTATTAATTGATATTACTTACTAAAAATTAATAATTAATTACCTTTTTAACTACCATACAATTTACTCTTAACATTTTGACATCATTTAATTACCATTACTTGTCTAATTACCATAACCTGTTTTAATACCACTTTACTATCTTAGAGACTCTTAATTACCTTGTACTCCCAAAATAACCTCAAGTATAACTACCAGTGCAATATTGAATGAAATAAACATTACTTTTTCACTTTTTTTGTAACATTATTACTTCCTAAAATTTTATTAAACACCATATTTACTACCAGTCAATTTTACTTTTGTACATTAATCATTATTTTATACTTTTCATAACATTTTGTTGCCAAATTTTCAAGTTTGTATATTCAACTCCAACCTTTATATTATCCTTTGTACCTGTGTACCTGTGTACCTGTCTACCATCTTACTATCATATTATAACCAAGTCATTGCCATTGTTATTTTTTTTACTTATTATTCTTTTGGTACTTCAATTTGTGAATTTTATTTTGTCAATTTAAATCTAGTTATACTCTTGATCTTGTTAACAACCTATATCAGACCCTAGTGCAATTGCAAGTACCATTTTAATTTGTTTTTTTTTTATATTATAGGTTTATATTATAAGTCCTACTCTAAGATTTTCATATCTTAGTGACTATTTTGTGTGTGCAATTAGTGTATATTTCAATTATATTATTGTTCAAGGCCCTTAACTATCTTTTGCTAACTAGTACCAACTACCTCTTTTTTTTTTTTTTTACTTTTTATTTTATTTTTTGCTACCTTATCTTATCAATTTAAATCTAGTTATACTCTAATTCTTGTAAACAACTTATATAACACCTTAGTGCAATTACTTGAGAGTCTTGTGTCTTTTTTATATCATTAGATTAAACTCAGTTGTACTATAGCTCATTCTAGCTCAATACATAGTCAATACCAAATTCATTATATTAGACCATAGTGCATTTACAAGTGAGAGTCTGGTGCTATTTTTAATTTGTATTTTTATATTATTAGATTAAACCTAGTTGTACTATAGCTCATTCTAGCTCAGTACATAGACTATACCAAAGTCATTACATTAGACCTTAGTGCAATTACAAGTGAGAGTTTGTGCTATTTTTAATTTTAATTTTATATTATTAGTTTATACCTAGTTGTACTTTAGCTCATTCCAGCACAACACATAGACAACATCAACTTCATTATGTGTATTGGTGACTATACTCTATATGACCAAAATGTTTTAGCTATATACTTGTCCAAACTTCCCACCACTACAGATATCAGTACTAAAACTCAACATACAACTCAGGATATAAATAACCATAATTTAAACCTAGAAGATGATTGATCACGTTGAAACCCCGATCTAAACCTCCATAATCTGACACCCAATCAAAACCTATTGGAAAGTAAAATGCCCTTTTTTACACAGCATCACAAGCCAGCACTATCCTAAACAATGCTGAAAGTCTATCAGTACTTAACTACAAAATCAGGCCTTAAGCAAACACTATGATGACCTCTTGGCACTCCTTGAATCACTAAACACACCCTTCCCTGCATTATTCTTACTGAGACCTGGCTTAAGCAGGACACAAAAGATATCTACCCCTACCAGGATACACAGCAATCCACAACTGCAGACCATACCAAGTTGGGGTGGTAATGCAATCTATTACTCAACCAATTTTCTTGTATTAGCACCACTTTGCTTTAGTGATGAATATGGGGAATAAATTTTTGCTAATTTTACTGTAAAAAAACCTTAAGACGCCTATAACAATCGGGCCATTTACCGGATACCCCACACAAACATCCCAAATTTCAGTGGAAAAATTTAAAGGGACTAATAACAAACAGACAAATGAATAAGCACCACCTTCTCTTAGCTGGAGACTTCAACATCAACCTTGGCCTAACTAGATGATCAGCCTGTAACTGATTTAATCAACAATATGAACAACACACTTCTCATACCAACAATAACTAAACCAACCAGGCTCCCTGAGACAAATGCAACCATAATAGACCACATATGGACCAATATACTAGCCCCCCTTAAATCAGGGATAATCACAGATAGCACTACAGACCACTACCCTACCCTTTCCCCCTGACAAACATTAGTAAACCACCACTTGAATACAACAAAGTTTCATTTTGGGCCCATGACGAGGCCTCAATAAGGAAGTCACAGCCGACCTAGAGACTGTTGACTGGCCTACAGAATTCTCCAAGGCCAATGGGATTGATGACTGGACAGACCCTTTTTTTTTAACAAATTACTTAGACTATACAACAAACATTGTCCTATAAAAAAGAAACAGATCACAAACAAACGGCTTGGGTGCCCATGGCTAAACCCGCACCATTCTTAAATCCATTGATAAAAAACACCAATATGAAAAGCAAAATAGACAGGCTTAATACACAATGATATTCTTAAACACTATTCATCAGTTCTCACCAAAGTAATAAAGAAAGCCAAACAACACTACTACTCCAGTAGATTCACTGACACAAGAGGAGATATAAAAAAGACCTGGAAAAAAACTCTCTTCAATTCTAGGGACCCACAAACTTAAAAAAACCAAGAATATTGCTCTAACTAAACCTAATGAAACATCACTGCATCCCACTGACACAGCTAACAAGATAAACGACTTCTTCTCAACCATAGGTTCTAATCTCGCCAATAAAATCCCACGTAAACCCAAAGCCCATGCCGGGGACTACCTAGATGGGAATTTCCCAAATTCCTTCTATCTTGCCCCCAACTGAGCCCCCAGAAGTCACCGAGATTATAAAGTCCCTTAAAAATAACTCAGGGAATCTGTCTCATGTCCCACCATTATTGTACAAGCGAGCGGCCCATGTCCTTTCGCATGCTATTTCATTTCTTTTTAACAAGTCACTAGAAACTAGCACCTTCCCAAAACTACTCAAGATGGCAAGGGTTACACCAAACATAAAGGTGGTACCCTACAGATTTAAACAACTATAGGCCAATATCAAACTTACCATTGCTATCCAAAATCTTTGAGAAACTCGTGCACAGGAGACTGTATTCATTTATAAAGGCACAAAACATACTCAACCCCAGCCAATTTGGATTCAGGAAAAATAAAAGCACTAATGATGCAATCATAAAAATGCTAGATCTGCTTTACACAGCATTGAAAAATAAGGAATATCCACTAGGAATTTTTATTGACCCAAGAAAAGCTTTTGACACAGTAGACCACGGCATCCTACTCCACAAACTTGACCATTATGGTATAAGAGGCCATGCGCTTGCATATTTCAAATCTTACCTTACTAATAGGTATCAGTATGTCACCATTAAAGACACAGCATCAACAACACGGCCACTTGATACTGGAGTTCTGCAGGGAAGTGTCCTTGGTCCCCTGCTCTTCCTCATATACATCAATGAACTTCCAAACGTATCCCAACACCTGAACCCCATTCTCTTTGCTGATGACACGACTTATGTCATCTCTCATCCTAATCTTGCCACCCTCAACACCATTGTTAACGAGGAGCTGATCAAAATATTGACTTGGATGGCAGCCAATAAACTTACGCTTAACACTGACAAAACCTACTACATTATGTTTGGTAGCAGAGCAGGAGATGCGCAAATCAACATTAAGATCGACAACACTCTAATTGCCAGACATAATGAGGGCAAATTCCTAGGCCTATACCTCGACAACAACCTGAATTTCAGCACCCATATCCAGCACCCATATCCAACACAACCAAAAAAGTATCCCAGATGGTTGGAATCCTCTCCAAGATACGATACTACGTGCCGCAAAATGCCCTTCTCACACTATACCACTCACTTATTTATCCATACCTCCCCTATGCTATTTGTGCTTGGGGATCAACTGCAGCAACACACCTAAAGCCAATAATAACCCAACAAAAAGCCGCAGTAAGAATAATCACTAAATCCCATCCCTGGCAACACACCTCCCCACTCTTCATAGATCTAAACTTACTCCCTGTTCAGTACATCCACACTTACTACTGTGCAATCTACATCTACAGGACCTTAAATTCCAATATTAATCTTGACCTAAAATGCTTTCTTGATAGTTGTGACAGAACCCACAGGCATAACACCAGACACAAACATCTCTATGACATTCCCCGTGTCCGACTAAATCTTTACAAAAATTCAATGTATGTCAAAGGCCCTAAAATCTGGAACACCCTACCTGAAAACTCTAGAACTGCAGACACATTCATCACCTTCAAAACTACCATTAGAAAACATCTTATCTCCCTGATACACCCTGTCAACTAATTACACGAATACCACCTGGTGGTTCACACTTACACTCGCTCACCCATTTGACCATAAAAAGAAATATCAATCTCAATCTTAAAATAATGAATCCTAACTAGTCATAAGTTGGCCTGTGATACTCCAATACTGAAACTATGTATTGTGCCAAAACAAAAGCATTCACATTGTTAAACTCACAAACTAGTACTTAGTCACTTAGCCATAATACCAACTTACCTCATACTTTGTAATGTTTTAAATTTAAGATTTGAACTAAGTCTGCCGGAAATGCCTAGCCATGCTAGGTGTTCTAGTGGTACACTCTGTAATTATTATTTTACTACATGTAAACCACACAATACCCAAATTCTGTAAACTCAGCATTGTAATCCTTATAGAGAATAAACTTTGAATTTGAATTGAATTGAATAATCTTCATTTCACTACTACACTTGCTGCCTCTATTTTTGACTAAAGAAACTTACTGTGTGGGCAAAATGTTTCAACAACAGAGATACCCAACCATTGCACATGTTTCTTAATCTTCAACTTGTCAGTATTTTACACCATTTTCAATAAAACTGCACAAAGGTGCTCACACAGACCAATGATGCTCAACGTAAAAGAATAATCAATGGATGATCTGGTACCTATTTTGATTCCCCTGTAGTGGTAATTTCATGGGTAAACTAGGCTAACTGGTCAGCAAACTTGAGCTCAACACAAACACTAATGAGGATCTATCCAATGAATTCAATTTCAGCCATAAATACCTTAATTAACAAACAATGACTATTCTGCAATACGCTAGGTAGATTGTGTCAGTAACCATAATATACTATGGCTGATAATTTGTCTAGTTTGTACATAAAAATAATATGAAAACACTTGAAATAAATGTCTACTTTGTTGCACAGTAACAACTAAAAGGTAAATTAGAAAAATTAAGTTAAAAAAATACCCATACACTTTCATTAACAGTCATGAAAAAATAAGGTTAGGTTGAATGCTCAATGTAAATTTTTTTTTAATATGCTAAACATCTCCCAAGGTGACCCCAAAAAAGAGGAAACACATTCACTGTAATTCATTCAAACACTGTTTTGCCAGAAGCATGCAGTAATGAATAGTAATTATGACATTTATGGAGCACTTGGACCTTATAGGTCACTCAGCATTCAAAGGCACAAAAAAATACATACAACACACAATGAAAACAGTGTTGAAATGAGAAGGAAAAATCTTTACCTGAATGATGAGACCCACACGCAGCCTCAGCATCTCCAGGAATAGGCTTGGTTCAGTGCGGATGAACATTGCCAAATATACCAGCAACTCTTGAGTCAACATTGCTGTAGATTCATCCGCTCCATATGCCTCATGGATCAGCATTCGCAAATCAGACGAGGGGAGAGGTGCGGTGATGGTCACCTCATTGTGTGGTGGCAGGCCCACTGTTACTTGCTTCTGCCGTACTAGAAGATCAGTGACAGCCTTTGCCAAGTCTTCTACACGCTTACCTAGCATGCCTAGGTAGCAAAAAACATGTTACTAAGCAAAACTAAAAAACTGACAAACTTAATAATCTTAACGAGTGCTACATATGAAAGCAAATTAAAAAGCAGTCCTTTTTTCGACCTGTACAACGTAAGTGGTTAACCCTATGTATTCAATATTATTATTATTTCTTCTTCTTTCAACAAACTGGCCGTATCCCACCGAGGCAGGGTTGCCCCCCCCCCAAAAAAAAACGTAAGTTTCTCATTTTAAATTTAGTAATTTATACAAGAGAAGGGGTTACTAGCCCCTTGCCCCGGGTATTTTAGTCGCATTTTACAACACGCATGGCTTACGGAGGAAGAATTCTGTTCCACTTCCCCATGGAAATAAGAGGAAATAAACAAGAATAAGAACTAGAAAGAAAATAGCAGAAAACCCAGAGGGGTGTGTGTACATATGGTTGTACATGTATGTGTAGTGTGACCTAAGTGTAAGTAGAAGTAGCATGACGTACCTGAAATCTTGCATGTTTATGAGACATTAAAAAAAGACACCAGCAATCCTACCATCATGTAAAACAATTACATGTTTCTGTTTTACACATTATTATTATTATTATTATTATTATTATTACCATATTATGCACACAGTAGTAGTTTAATTTCTTTCTTAAATTTGTTTAGTGATTATTTTCTTTTTTTGTTATTTCCAAGGACATTAAGTCCAGTCTATTTTTTCATAGCTAAGCTGAACATATTGTCAATGGATCTAAGGATGCTGTTAGTTAGCAAGAGCTAACTAAATTGTAGAGGCGCTGATTTTTTCTAGGAATAGTTGGAAATATGAGCTAGTGTTGAGTATTATTAAATTCTCTCTGCCAGACAATGTTTGTGACTGCTACATTATATAAAGTTATTCACCCCTGATCATCATGGAGACTGAATGTGTTATTGCAGATGTTTCAAAATTATCACCAGCAAGAAACAATTAGAATAGTGGGAAAATAATGCCTCTTTTATTAAGCTGCTATATTGGAGCAGGATGTAGTGGACTCATTAATTCATGTAGATGTGTTATTATTATAATCATGGGGGAGCACTAAACCCATAGGATTATACAGCTCATGTGGGGGGGGGGGGGAGCGGGTGGAAGGTATTCAGGCTCAATTCAGAAACTGGAGCACAGATCCAATTCCCTAGATCACGAGCCCCTCACCAGCATCAAGGAACCTCCCTTGAGGGGACCTGTAGATGTGTTAATTGATGACATTAAAAAGCAATCATACATGTTGTTTAGGAAACTAGCTACTTGCAGATCTTCAGAATGAAGGAGGTTCATGTTGATATCTACAGCTCTTATTAAATATTATTTAGTTTAATGTTACAGATTAAAACTTTTAAGATTGTCACCAAAGCTTGATTTCTTAGTATGAGATAATTGGTAGACTGCTTAAATTAGGTTGGTAGACAGCAAGCATCCCAGAAGGCACTACCATACTCTTAAATGAGTGTGAAATGGAAACCTGCTAATTTATTACACCCTGGCAGAATTGATGATCTTTTTTTCTGTCTCATGAACATGCAAGATGACAGGTAAATTTTACAAACAATTAGTAATATCAAGTACATATGTATTTTTACTTTCTTATGAATTATACTTCTTAATAGTTCTTATTCCTGTAATAGTTCCTTTCCAATCTAGGAGGCCTAGTCTGAGACTGGGATCTGTGAAGATAATCTTCAGAGCCACTACCAGACAGCTCCTATTGTCAATGAGATATTCAAGCTTTTAGGTGTAAACTGAGCAAAAATGTAACCATACATAATCTCGCATTAGCTTAGGGCCTTCACATAAGCTTATACAAATCTAGCTACAGTGTGATTATATACCTGTGTGATTATATAGCTGCCAGGTACAGCAACTGAAGCAGTTGGTAATGGTAATCAGCAAACAAGTGAAAATAATGTAATTCAGTAGTACACCTACCATCCATCTTATTCTTTTTAGTAATCATTACAGGAAAAAGGGTTACTAGCCCATTGTTCCTGGCATTTTACTTGACTTTTACAACACACATGGCTTACGGAGGAAAGATTCATATTCCACTTCCCCATGGATATAAAAGGAAAAGTACTAAGAACAGGAACTAGTAAGATAAAATCAAAGAAAACTCAAATGAGTGTGTATAAATAAACGTGTACATGTATGTGTAGTGTGACCTAAGTGTAAGTAGAAGTAGCAAGACATACCTGTAATCTTGCATATTAATGAGACAGACAAAAGACACCAGCAATCCTACAATCATGTAAAACAATTACAGGCTTCTGTTTTACACTCACTTGGCAGGACAGTAGTACCTCCCTGAGTGGTGCATTGAGATATATGTGGAGACAAAAAAATGTTATCTATGGAGGCAAAGAAGGGAATGTATGAAAGTGTAGCAGTACCAACACTCTTATAAGGGTGTGAAGCTTGGGTTGTAAACGTTGCAGCGAGGAGACAGTTGGAGGCAGTGGAGATGTCCTGTCTAAGGGCAATGTGTGGTGTAAATACTATGCAGAAAATTCAGAGTGTGGAAATTAGAAGGTGTGGAGTTAATAAAAGTATTAGTCAGAGGGCTGAAGAGGGGTTGTTGAGGTGGTTTGGTCATTTAGAGAGAATGGATCAAAGTAGAATGACATGGAGAGCGTATAAATCTGTAGGGTAAGGAAGGTGGGGTAGGGGTCATCCTCGAAAAGGTTGGAGGGAGGGGGTAAAGGAGGTTTTGTGGGCGAGGGGCTTGGACTTCCAGCAAGCGTGCGTTAGCGTGTTAGATAGGAGTGAATGGAGACAAATGGTATTTGGGACCTGACGAGCTATTGGAGTGTGAGCAGGGTAGTATTTAGTGAGGGGATTCAGGGAAACTGGTTATTTTATATAGCCGGACTTGAGTCCTGGAAATGGAAAGTACAATGCCTGCACTTTAGAGGAGGGGTTTGGGATATTGACAGTTTGGAGGGATATGTTGTGTATCTTCACATATATGCTTCTAAACTGTTGTACGTATTCTGAGCACCTCTGCAAAAACAGAGATTATGTGTGAGTGAGGTAAAAGTGTTGAATGATGATAAAAGTATTTTCTTTTTGGGGATTTTCTTTCTTTTTGGGTCACCCTGCCTCGGTGGGAGACGGCCGACTTGTTATAAAAAAAAAAAAAAAAAGGACCAAGCTTGGTTCCGACTAACTGGTCTTAAGTCAAAACGGACGCAAGTCAAACCTTACTACTGAATATCAGCATCACATTACATAATGATTTTATTTTATTGTTTTATTTTGGTATTTCATTTTTTACTCTAATTTTTATGCTGTTAGTACTGTATTTTATACTGTAAGGTTTAGGAGAAACACAGTGTACAACACAAACAGCTGTTTATTTCTCAGAACATTTGCATACAAAACATGGTCGTAAGTTGAGTGGTCGTATGTCGAACAGGTTGTAAGTTGGATGGTAGGTGTACTGTAAATGCTTCATACTCTAATTATCATGGATGGGAAAATACAAGAAGCAGGTATGAGTTTAGCCATGAACAATAAAGGGTAAATACAGTGGACCCCCGCTTAACGATCACCTCCCAATGCGACCAATTATGTAAGTGTATTTATGTAAGTGCGTTTGTACGTGTATGTTTGGGGGTCTGAAATGGGCTAATCTACTTTACAATATTCCTTATGGGAACAAATTCAGTCAGTATTGGCACCTGAACATACTTCTGGAATGAAAAAATATTGTTAACCGGGGGTCCACTGTATTGGGAAGACAGTATTCCGTGAGTGAAATGTAGATGAAGACAATATGGTAGACTATCATATTGTGTTGTGGTATAGGTATACAGAAAAGTGGAAAAAAAGGTAACATTATATCACAAATTTTCTCATAGCCTACCTCCAGCCTTGATACAATAAACTTTATGTAATGACCTACCAGCAGTGTGCCGAACAAGTGCCCAGTGCTTGGCATGGCATGCACGCTCATACAGGTCTTTGAGAAGATCCTTCACACTCACTGGCTGACCTTCGATCACTGACCCTGTCTCATGATTCAGCCCAAACTGCACAACCTACAACCAGACAAATAAAAAAAAAATTGTTGGTCATTTTGCATATAAAAAGATTCAAACAATGGAAATTTAAAATACAGTGTTAGAATGCCCAAATACACTAAAAAGGATACTAAATTCATATATACAGAGGTTACTAACATGGCATTCCTGATTTTTCAAATTAGCAACAAGTCATCTGAATAGAAAACAATTGTGGAAAGGATGTTAATGCTTCACATATACTGTATTTGAACTGCAAATTGGCACTTGCAAAACAGTGATTAATTCCTAAGTGCCTTATTATTAAGTGTGAATGTGTGTAACCTGAGGAGTTTTTGGTAAGATGGTGACCCCCCTGCAGTGAGTTCATAGGACAACAACAAATATAGCAGTAAACTGCCTCTGGAAAAACCTTAAAGTTTTTATACCTCCAGGGAATTTGTTCTAACAGCTTTAAAGCAAAAGTTAAATATATATACAGTGGACCCCCGCATAGCGACCTTAATCCGTGCAAGAGGGCTGGCTGTTATGCGAAATGTTCGCTATGCGAATGAATTTTCCCCATAAGAAATAATGGAAATAAAATTAATCCGTGCAAGACACCCAAAAGTATGAAAAAAAATTTTTTTTACCACAAAAAAATGTTAATTTTAGTACACACAAACTGAAAAAGGCATGCACAATTACATGACACTTACTTTTATTGAAGATCTGGTGATGATTGATGGGATGGGAGGAGGGGAGAGAGAGTGTTAGTGTTTAGAAGGGGAATCCCCTTCCATTAGGACTTGAGGTAGCAAGTCCTTTTCTGCGGTTACTTCCCTTCTTCTTTTAATGCCACTAGGACCAGCTTCAGAGTCACTGGACTTCTTTCGCACAACATATCTGTCCATAGTGGCCTGTACCTCTCGTTCCTTTATGATTTGTCTAAAGTGGTTCACAACACTGTCATTGTAACAGTCACCAGCACGGCTTGCAATAGCTGTGTGAGGGTGATTTTCATCAAAAAAGGTTTGCACTTCAAGCCATTTTGCACACATTTCCTTAATCTTTGAAGTAGGCAATTCCTTCAATTTCTCTCTCCCCTCCTTTGAACCAGTTTCCCCAGGTCTGGCCTCTTGCTCTTGAAGTTGATCTATCAGCTCATCAGTGGTTAGTTCTTCATTGTCCTCCTCCACCAACTCTTCCACATCCTCCCCACTAACCTCCAACCCCAAGGACTTCCCCAATTCCACAATTGATTCCTCAACTGGTATACTCCTCTCAGGGTTAGCCTGAAACCCTTCAAAATCCCTTTTGTCTACACATTCTGGCCACAGTTTCTTCCAAGCAGAGTTCAAGGTTCTCTTAGTCACTCCCTCCCAAGCCTTACCTATAAGGTTTACACAATTAAGGATATTAAAGTGATCCTTCCAAAACTCTTTTAGAGTCAATCGAGTGTCTGTGGTCACTTCAAAGCACTTTTGAAACAGAGCTTTTGTGTACAGTTTCTTGAAGTTGGAAATGACCTGCTGGTCCATGGGCTGCAGGAGAGGAGTGGTATTAGGAGGCAAAAAACTTCACCTTAATGAAGCTCATGTCCCCATAAAGTCGCTTTTGCCACGTCTGTAGGATGACCGGGGGCATTGTCTAACACCAGGAGGCACTTAAGGTCTAATTCTTTCAGTTAGGTAATCTTTCACACTGGGGGCAAATGCATGGTGAACCAGTTATAGAAAAATTCCCTAGTGCCCATGCCTTACTGTTTGCCCTCCACAGCACACACAAATTATCCTTGAGGACATTCTTTTGCCTGAACGCTCTGGGAGTTTCAGAGTGATACACTAATAAAGGCTTAACTTTGCAATCACCACTAGCATTGGCACACATCAACAAAGTAAGCCTGTTTTTCATAGGTTTAAATGTCTTGGGAGTGCCTTTTCCTCCTGAGTAATGTAGGTCCTGCTTGGCATTTTCTTCCAGAACAGGCCTGTTTCATCACAATTAAACCCCTTGTTCAGGTTTCAGTCCTTCATTTTTCTATGTACTCCTTGAATTCATGCACATATTTTTTCAGCCCCCTTTGTGGTCCGAACTGGCAGCCTCACCATCCCGTATCACACTATGGATGCCACTACGCTTCTTAAATCTCTAAAACCCAAACCCTTTTGCTGGCCTTAAATTCACTCACATCATCACTAGTTGCGGGCATTTTTTTAATTAAATCGTCAGGGCAACTTCCTAGCCTTTTCACATATGATCGCTTGAGAGACGCTATCTCCTGCTAGCTGTTTTTCATTTATCCACACCAATAACAGTCTCTCAACATCTTCCATCACTTGCGATCTTTTTTCAAAAACACATTTAAAAACCTTTGGCAACAACAGCTTCCTTGATTGCCGTTTTCTTGCCCACAATAGAAGAGATGGTTGATTTTGGTTTCTTTTTACAACCTGACCCCGGTCGGTGGGTACGTACTCCACTTTCATACTTATCAATGATCTCTTTCTTTAAATTTTAATAGGAATCCTAACCCTTATTGCGTAGGGTTGGAACTAGAAGCTTTCTTGGGGCCCATGGTCACTTATTTTCCAGAAACACCACCGAAAACACTGTAATAATACGAAATATTCCGAGTGTATGCTTGAATGTTACCGCGGAGGCTGGCTGGTAAACAATGGCACAGGCGGCACATGTGAGGCTGGCTGAGGGCGCACATTGGACGCGTCTCGGACGAAGGCCGCTGAGCGGGTTTTTGTCCACTATGCGGGGCAAAATTTTAGCGAACAAAGCGTCCGCTATGCGGATTGTCCGCTATGCAAGGCGTCCGCTATGCGGGGGTCCACTGTATTTATAAAAACTAAACAAAAGCTTATTTCTTTGCAAAGGTTACAATGTGTGTTTACATTTCATAATTTGATTGGTACAAAGAAAGCCACTATCACGACGGGGCATTTCGGGCACACTTTACCTAATACAGTGGACCCCCGCTTAACGATCACCTCCAAATGCGACCAATTATGTAAGTGCGTTTGTACGTGTATGTTTGGGGGTCTGAAATGGACTAATCTACTTCACAATATTCCTTATGGGAAAAAATTCGGTCAGTACTGGCACCTGAACATACTACTAGAATGAAAAAAGTTCGTTAACCGGGGGTCCACTGTACTTAAGGTCTACTTAAGTCTAGACAGGTAGAGTGGTAAATTTCAAATATTCATTATTTTACTCTATTATTAATATGAAGTATCCAAATTTTTTAGTTAACAAGCTTTATAGTTTAATGTAGACAAAACTGATAACAGTACAGCATTACATATACACTACAAGTTATGATACAAACATACATTTTTAGGTTTGTAATAATGATTTAACAGATAAGGGGTAATAAAATATTTGGGAGAGTTGCTTTAACCCTTAAACTGTCCAAACAGATCTACGTTCACATGCGTAGTGCTCCAAAAGTAGATCTACATTTTTTTACATATTTTCAAATATATATATAAAAAAAAAAAAAAAAAGTAGATCAAAGTTTTTTTACACGTTTTCAAATGTTAAAAAAAAAAAAAGTCTACATTTTTTTTTACATACTTTCAAATGTTGAAAAAACGTAGATCTATGTTTGGACAGTTTAAAGATTAAATTTGGTTACAGATTAGCATAGTGTGGGTATGGTTATTATTGAGAGATGAGATGATTTTTAAGTATAGTTCTAAATTGATTTGTGGACAGGGGACCTCCTCCTGGTTCAGGCAAGGAGTTCCAGATCTTCGGGCCCTTTATATGCACTGCAGTTTTGCATAGTGTGAGACGGACATGAGGGATTTCAAAAAGTGTTTTGTTCCTTGTGTTATGCTTGTGTGTTCTGTTGCAGCTGTCTAGAAGTTTGAGTGGAGGGCTTATAATGGAGTTTAATGTTCTGTATATATAGTAGGCACAACAATAAGTGTATATTTTGTATATTAAATAAGTTCAAGCTCTTGAAGAGTCGTAGGGTGTGTTGTCTGGCGCAGGAGTTTGTGATCATCCTCACCGGAGCTTTTTGTTAGGTTATTAAAGGTTTAAGGTGATTGGTCATGGTAGATCCTCAAGCACAAATACCATAGGTGAGGTAAGGGTATATTAGAGAATGATATAAAGTAAGGAGCCCCATTTGCGGTACATAATATCGTATCTTGAAAAGGATGCTTACTATTTTGGAAAGTTTCTTAGTTATATGCTGCATGTGGGTCTGAAATTTAACATTACAGTAAAGATGGAGACCTAGAATTTTCCCTCAGTGTGTTTTGTAATGGGGGAACCATTTATCGATGTGTTTAGCTGGATATTTAACGCTCTGTTTCCAAAAAGCATGAAGTAGGTTTTGTCTATGTTGAGAGTGAGTGTTGGTCATCATCCAGTTTGATATTTTTAGTAGCTCACTGTTTACAGTGTCACTAAGTATAGCCAGGTTTGGGTGGGAGAAGACATAAGTGGTGTCATCTGTGAACAAAACTGGTTTAAGGAGTCGTGATGTATTTGGGAGGTCACTGATGTAAATAAGAAAGAGTAGAAAATGCTGGAAAAGTTAAACAAATTTACAGCAAATAAACCAAAGCATCATCCAAATCAATTACACTCTAGGTAAGATCCATGAAAAAGGCAAAATTAAGATACAAATAACAAATTATGATATATGAATGAACAAAACACAATAACTGGGATAGGCATGTACTTTGAGTTGATGAGAATCAGTTAGTGTTGAGGTTTGATCCGGATACTGTTAGTGTACATATTTAATGAGGCGTCATACTGTAGCATCAGTGATCATGCAAGTCATTAGTGACTTCACCTATAATTTATTAAACCCTATGACAGCATATATACCAGTATAAATTAAACAATATTTGTACAGACCACACTGAAGAGGGAAGCGAGTTGAAAGTAAAATATGAATCAAGCATAGGGCCCATGGGGGTAAGAGTAAGTAAATTATATTTTATTCCATGCTACTGTAACTATACATATACATATGACAAAATTCAAGAACACTGACACTAACTCTTAGCTATGGTGTCTATATCAGTGAACACCAATCTGACTGACCAAAAGTCTAAAACTTGGTAACATATAGGTAAACTGGAGCTATAGACTTGAAAACTTCTCTTTCCTCAAACACTAAATGTGCAGGGGTCAGGAAGCAAAAGTACAGTAGTGGAAACTTGATCCTCTGCTTGACAGTCAAGGCTTGGTCTTTGACCAATCAGACTTGGTGATTACCTAGAGTAGAGGTGAGTGCATGAGGAGTGTGGCTTACCAGGTAGTGAAGGATGTCACCTTGTTCCTCCAGGGACTCCGCCTCCCGCATCTGCAGCAGCAGCTCCTCCAGATCCACGTTCTCATACACTGCGTCAGAAGCTACCCTGTGTGTTCAAATATGTTCATCATTGCTAAATTGCTAAAGCATTCAGCTTTCTAATGGTGTGACAAGATAATGATAACAATATACAGTACAGTATTTTGAATGAATTAGGTTAATAAACAAGACACATGAGCAACATCTACGTATCTTTACTGAGTTTTGTCAATGCAGCAGGCTTTATCAACTTAATAAAGAAGCACGAGGATGGAGCCTTTAATAGTGGAGCCAGTGGAAGAAGTAGAGATGTAGCAGCTGAAGATATGGTCACAAGTGGACAGGGCCCACTGGTGGAAGTAGGCGAGACCCATCAACTTATTATTATACCTATGATTTAATGAGAATGCCATAGCAAGTGGTACAGAAAATACCTACTACAACTCCACTGTTAACCCTTAAACTGTCCAAACGTAGATCTACATCCACGTGCGGGGGGCTCCGAACATAGATCTACTTTTTTTTTACATGCTTTCAAATGGGGAAAATCAAGGTCGGAGCGCTATGCACGTGAACGTAGATCTAGGTTTGGACAGTTTAGGGGTTAAATTTCTGACCCACCTTATGAGCCTGGCCTACCTTTACTAGTGGGTCCCACCCATATATGATCACTTCAACTGCTGCACCTCGTCACTTCTTCCACTGGCTCCAGCACAAAAGGTTCTGCCATCACGTACACCTACCATCCGACTTACGACCGAGTTCGGTTCCGAGAAACCGGTCGTAAGTCGAAATGGATGCAAGTCGAACTTTACTACTGAATATCAACATCACATTTTTGTAATGACTATTTTATTGTTTTATTTTGGTATTTCATGTTTTACTTTACTTTTTATGTTGTTAGTACTGTATTTTATACTGTAAGGTTTAGGATAAACACTGTGTACAACACAAATAGTTATTTATTTCCCAGAAATTTCGCATAAAAAACACGGTCGTAAGTCGAGCAGGTCGTAAGTCAGATGGTAGGTGTATTAGACTGATAAAGCCAGCTGTGCAGGTAAATATCTTTCTAATAAAGATACCCCAGGTGTTACACACCTGGGATATCTGTATTGGAACTTGCTGGTATTATACCTATGATGTAATCTTAGAGAAGCATTGTCTCCTACCTTTACAACCTCCAAAAGGAATAATTTATAAACTGCCCCAGGGGAACTACAAGCTACAATACTTCAATACTTATTTTTGATGATTTTATATGAGGTACAGCCAAACTGCTTACGTCCAACTTTCATATTTTTTTTTACAATCTGGGGAAGCATTTCCCATTACGGCTTGACGAAGCTCCTGGAGAGTGAAACGTTGCCACAATAAAAGTGTCACATTAGTTGCACTTGTGTCCTTTTACTTACACACTAATATTAGTTAATTTGAATTAATCAGGAACTGAATAAATGTTAATTTCTGGAATCTCATTTATGTCTTCCTGTGTAAAAACTGACAAAAAATAGTCATTAAATATGGAACATATTTCCAGTTCGTTATCCGTCAGCTGTCCATTCCCAATTTCCAGAGGTTCTACTTTTTCCTTCACCTTCGTCCTATACACTTGAAATAAGCCCTTTGGATTGGCCTTTGATTCATTAACAACTCTAATTTCTTTTAAGCTGAAGATATTGGTCAGTAAAGTTAACCTCTCCTCTTCTGATGCACCTATAAATTCCCCTTTTCTCCCCTAATAGATGCTTTAGCCTCCTGTTAACCCATTTGGGATCGTCATTATTAGACCTAATTTCTCTCTGGGGAATGTATATATTCTGAGCACGGTGTACATTATTAAGAAAAAAATCATAAATGCAGATCCCTTCATAATCATAAGTATGATCATCAATAAAATCATTAGCTAGATAACCCCAATCGAGATATGGCAGGTGTTCCCTAAGTCCATTATAATCAGCAGAATGAAAATCAGGGATTTTTACCATATTATCATTATTCTTGTATTCCCAGTTAATGCTAAAAGTGATGGATTTGTGATCACCTGTGCCAAGCTCTTCAGTGATCTCCAGATTATTTACGAGTATTACCTTATTTGACAAGACTAGGTCTAGCAAATTATTACCCCTGGTAGGCTCTGTTACACACTGCTTCAGAAAACAGTCCTGAACTGTTTCCATACAGTCACTGGACTCCAGATTACCGGTCAAAGAATTCCAGTCAATTTGACTAAAGTTAAAATCCCCTACTATCACTATGTTATTGTGTCTAGAAGCCTTAACAATTTCGTCCCAAAGAAGTCTCCCTCTATCGTGATCCAAGCCAGAAGGTCGGTATATTACACCTAGAATTAGTTTTTCTTGACCTTCTACAAACTCTACCCAAACAGATTCTGTTACTGTTCCATCTATTTTTATACCTGTTTTTATGCAACAGTTAATATTTTCTCGAACATATAATGCAACTCCTTCCCCCTTCCCATTACATCTATCCACATGGAACAACTTAAACCCTTGAATACTACACTCAGCAATCATATCCCAACTCTTTAAATCATACCATGTTTCAGTTAATGCAATGACATCAAAATTCCCAGCACATGCTACCAAACGTAGCTCATTAATCTTATTTCTTGCACTTCGACTGCTAGCATAAAATACCATCATAAGTTTTTTCTTCTGCACATTTTTCCTATTCACCTTTGTTTTTACACAATTTCTGAAATTATCATTACCCAGAGCTACTCCATGACAGTTACTATTAACCCATAAACGGTTCAAACGTATATATACATTTTTTCAACATTTGAAAGTATGTAAAAAAAGTAGATCTTCTTTTTGTTTTTTTACATTTGAAAATGTGTAAAAAAACTATGATCTACTTTTTTTTTGTTATGTTTGAAAATATGTAAAAAAAACGTAGATCTACTTTTGTAGCACTACACATGTGAACGTAGATCTGCTTGGACCGTTTACGGGTTAAGATTCTTAATATCAGAGCATAAGTCAATATATCCATACTCATTGTTTATCATTTCTAAACCCATACCTGTAACTAATCCTAGTTTAAAGTCCTAACAACCCCCTCAACTGAGCTAGCAAGAAAACCCACACCTGCCCTGGATATGTGAGCCCCATCCCTGGCATACACGTCATTTCAGCCATAGAAGTTGTCCCAGTTGTCAATGAATGGTACTGCATTATCCTTACAGTGTTTATCCAGCCAACAATTAATACCAATTGCTCTGGACAACCATTCATTTCCAACACCTCTTGGCAAAATGCCACATATAACAGGGCAACCCCCCTTCTTCCTAATTATGTCTATTGCTGTCCTGAACTTTCTAACTAAATCCTCACATCTACGCTTGCCTACGTCAATGCCTCCAGCACTGAGGCAGATAATAGGATTGATCTCATTATCGTTCATGATGTTGTCAAGCCGGCTAACAAAATCCTCCATCCCAGCCCCAGGAAAGCAGACTTAGATCCCTGAGTCTTCACTCTCTTGAGGGACGTAGAATGAGAGGAGATATCGAAGTGTGTAAGTGGATGATGGCCATAAACAAAGGCGATATTAATAAAATACTGAGGATATCGCCTCAGGTAAGAACCAGGAATATCAGAATTAAGTTGGATAAATTTAGATTTAGAAAGGACACAGGTAAGTACTGGTTTTCAATGTTCTGAGTAGGGTGATCGAGGCTACGACCCTGGGTAGCTTTAAGAAAAGATCGGACAAATATATGAGCGGTAGGTGCTGGGTTTGATTGGTGTCGTGGGTATGGAATTAAATTCTTGGGTAGATTTGGGATGAGGTGGTTTTGATAAGGACCTGTCTTGTATGGGCCAGGAGACCTTCTGCAGTGTTCCTCCATTCTTATGTTCTTACAAGAGCCACTATTTTTGGGGGGGTTAGGAGGGGGGATTATTATTATTATATTCAAAACGAAGCACTAAGCCACAAGGGCTATACAGCGCTGCAGGGTAGGAAAGAAAGCGAGGGTATTGGGCAGCAGAAGGGGGGAGGGATGATCAGTAGGTTACAGAAAACAGCGAGGCAGGGGATAGTGCAGGGGTAGAGGGCAGCAAGAGATTGAGGTAGAAAGGGCTGAAGGTATCATCAGAGTTTGTGAAGTAAGTCAGTTGTTGTCAAAAAGTCAATGAGAGAGTCCGAATGAAAGGTGGGTCCATCAGCGAGAAGGGAAGGTAAAGAGAGAGCAGCGGAGCGAAGACTACGTTGAAGGCATATTCTGCGTGCTCGTTGATAAAGTGGGCAGTCTAATAGAATGTGGCTGACCGATAATGGAACCTAACAATTCTCACAGAGAGGAGCAGGGCGCCTCTCCATGAGATATCCATAAGTAAGACGAGTATGGCCAATGAAAAGACGGGAGAGAGTAGTCTCCCAACCTCGACACTGGTGACAAGAAGACGGCCAATAACCAACACTCGATTTAATAGACTGAAGTCTGTTACTGAGCAGAGTAGACCAAAGCTGTTGCCAACGGGTGTGAAGGTGGGTAGCTATTGCAGCAAAATAGTCCGTAAATGGAGCACCTCTATATGAAACTGGTAGGTCATGTACTGCTGACCGCGCAGCAGCGTCTGCCTGTTCATTGCCCTGTACGTCAACATGACCAGGGACCCAACAAAAAACAATATCTTTATGCTTGGTAAAGATGCGGCGTAGCCAAAGTTGGATACAAAGGACTAAGGGGTGAGGTGTATCAAATTTCTGTATAGCCTGTAAAGCACTAAGGGAGTCTGAGACAACCACAAATGATGACACAGGCATAGATGCAATACAGATAAGTGCTGCAAGAATGGTATACAATTCAGCAGTAAAAACACTAGCCGAAGATAGTAAATGCCCTCGTACGATGCTGTCCGGACACACTGCTGGAAATCCTACGCCGTCAGAAGACTTAGAGCCATCTGTGTACACTGCAATGGCATGAGAATGAGAGTGGAAGTGGTCAAGAAAAACAGAGCGGGAAGTTACTGTAGACAATTGGGCTTTCGAGCAAGGGAGTGAGAAAGAACAAACTCGAACAGCTGGAACTTCCCAGG